GACTCCTTAAGGAAAATCCCATTATAAGAAGATAGAGACCAGGACGCCAAAACTAAGCATGGTTACTATATCAGGTTATTCTGAGAAATTTTACTGAGTAACAAACCATCCCATACTTAATGATTTAAGACTATTTTTCTTATAATTCTGTGGATGAGCTGGGCTTACTTAGGCAGTTCTGCTGGTCTCTCCTGATGTCATCACTTATGCTGGTAGCCCCTTTGTGCTGGGGCCTGAGACGTCCTCCTAATGTGTGGAGCTGGCTGCTGGCCTCTCACCATGTGGTCTCTCATCTGCACAAGGTCAAAGGTCTAACCCAGATTTCTCTTCAGTTGCAAGAGTGGAAGTTGCAAGCCCAAGTCCTAGCCTTGGAATTTCTACAATGTCACATTGATGGAAGCTTAGAATAGAAAATTTAGCATGGAAGTTTTCACAAGGTTAAACAGCAGAGGTGGAGGCAGAAAGGATTATCAGTCTTACAAAACAATGAACCCAACTCCACCCCAAAGTGATAAATTCCACAAAGTGAAAAAATTCCACAAAGGAGTAAATCCCATCAAAGGACAGTATCTAAGGATGCCCCTTGCTCTGGCAAAATGCAGCTCCTGGCTTTTAAGATTGCTGCCCACTGGGACTATGCATATATCTTTTTTTTTTTTTTTTAAAGATTTATATATTTGGGCCTCCCCGGTGGCGCAGCGGTTGAGCGCTGGGTTGTGAAGCTGCCCGCGGCCTCAGCGGTGCCGGTTCGATCCCCGGCTGCTCCCCGGCCACCAGAGGAGGGTCCCACATGGCGCGCAAACCTCTCCTGCCGCCCGCTGCTCCCCTCAGCAGTGTACTTCGGTCCTTCTGCCTGCTCTGCTCCCCGCTCTGGCTCTGGTGAATTCTCTCACCCTCCCGAGCTTCTGACTGTACCCAGTGCTTGTATAAACAAAACAAACAAACAAACAAACAAACAAACAAATAAATAAATAAAACATGCCTCTATAAAAAAAAATTAAAAAAAAAATTAAGATTTATATATTTATTTTATACAAGAACCAGGGTACAGGCCAGATGCATGGAAGGGTGAGAGAATTCACCAGAGACAGAGCGGGGAACAGAACAAGCAGACTGACGAAATACACTGCTGAGGGGAGCGGCGGGCGAGACAGGAGAGGTCTGCTGCACCATGTGGGACCCTTGCTGGCCGGCTGGGATCAAACCAGCACTGCAGAGGCTACAGACAGCTTCACAGCGCGGCGCTCAACCACCTGTGCCACCAGGGGAGGCCCCATCTTTTTCTTTTTTAAAAAGATTTATTTTATTTATTTATACATATAAGAGCTGGGGTGTAGGCCAGAGGTGGGGCGTGTGTGTGAGAGGATTTATTGCAGGACAGGGAGACCCCTGATCTAAATGGGTTCTGTCATCCACCGCATCAACACAAAACATATGAGACTTTAATGGGAAGGAACTTTAACACAATTAGGAAACAATACAAGAAAGGCAAAGAATATCGTTTCTAAATCAAGTACCCAAAGTTACCCCTTGTGGGTAAGAGTCCATCCAAATGGGATTGGCCCAGAGCAAGGCCCCAAAGCCTGCCACAAGTCTAAAGCATCTTCCAGTGGGGACCCACAGAAAAGAATCAGAAACAAGCAGACAAGTCTGGAAGGAAAAGAGCAAAATCAAAATCAAGATAAAACTCGCCATTGTCACCTCCTCACAGGTCTCTCACCCACATCTGTTTCAACCAGTCCATGACCAAAAGGCAAGAGCATTTTCTTCATGTGTCTCTCTGCTCCATGTGCTTCCTCCAGGTCTCCTCCTGGCTCTCCATCCTGCTTCCTTCCTTCCTCAGTCTCCTCTGCAGCTTCTTCTCTCCCTGCTCAGCTCCACCCTCCCTTCGGTGGGGCAGGAAACCTGGAACATCCCCCTTTCCTGGGGACCACTCTGTTACAGATTCACCAGAGACAGAATGGGGAGCAGAACAGGCAGACTGACTGAAATACACTGCTGAGGGGAGCACCGGGTGAGACAGGAGAGGTCTGCTGCGCCATGTGGGTAGCTCCCTGGCTGGGGACTGAATTCGACTCGTGCTGCAGTGGCTGCAGATAGCTTCATAGTGTTGAGACCTAACCTCTTGTTCCACCAGGGAAGCTCACAGACATATGTTTCTAAATAAACGCCCTATGCAGCCAAACAGGAGACTGCTGAATTCATTTTCACAGGACCCAAAAAATCCTGCAAACTGAGCCTCAACAACACTGCTGCATTTTCTGGTCAAAGCAAGTGTTGATGCCAGTCCAAATTTAAAGGGCTGGGAAATGGACTCCCCATCTTGATGGGTAGAGTGACAAGTCCCACTGCAAAGGGGTATAGACACAAGGAGATAAAGTTTCATGAGAGGCCTTTACTATGCCCCACCATTCATCTCTTCCAGATGCTCTCTTCTAGATGCTTTCATTAACTCTTTCCCTATATATATCACCACTAGAGGCTCATCTCCTTCAGAAATTTCTTTTTTCTGTGAAACCCCAGCAGAGATCCCCACCAGTCCATATCCAAATTTATTCATGTATCCAATAATTTACTTAAACACCAAGCAATTATCAGAACAATCACACTCCTATGCTGAGTACCATGGATGCAATATGATAAATAAAACTCAGTTCCTGCCCTCAAAGAGTTTCTAATCTAAAAGAGGAGATAGGGAATTAAACAGACAATAGCACAGAATATAAAGGGAAATGCTAGAGGGGGAATAGGGATCCTGGAGCCCAAAATGACAGCTAGCTCAGCCTTGGGGGTTGGTGATCTTTTCAGGATGGGTGGAGGTCTCCAGGTTGAAAAGAACTGTAGTATGTATTAGTCAGAACTCTTGGTTGTAAGTGATAGGAACCCAACTTAAGCTTCCTTAACTTAAGGAAAAAGAGAACTTACTGACTGAAAACTAAAAAGTCCTGAAAGCATTAGCTTCAGGCATGGTTGGATAGAGATGTTCGTCAGAAACCAGTCTCTTCTCAGCTGTTTTCCTTTGTGTTGGCTTAATTCTCAGGTGCACTGTCCTTATCTGTTGGCAAAGATGAGTGCTAGCTCCTCCAGACCTGGGTCACGAGTTCACCCTTAGAACCAGGGAAAAGGGGCAATTTCTCAGAATGGTGCAGAGATGTTACCAAGGGGAGAAGAGTAAATTAAAGGCTGATGCACAGGCCAAACATCAAGTGTCCTCCCAGGCCAGTGACTAAATGTCCTGCGGGAAGGATAAGGAGGCCTTAGGAAGTAGAGTTAGAGGTATGCTAACAAAAACTTGTGTCAAATCTCTCGATGGTTATTTCCTTGATTGTGTAAGCTCTGGAAGATTTTGCCTCTGAGGTTCTCATCTGAATGGGTCCTTTTCAAGTTGTTTTGAGGCCTAAATGAATTTTCAGCTACAGGGGCTCAAGGAGAAGTCATCCTTTTCAGCATTTTATCAGTGAAGTCCTGGGTCTGGTGTACTTTGCCCAGCAAAAGGGGAGCATTCTCCACCTAGTGGCCATCAAGGTCATTGCACTGTAGAGCTGACCCATTTCCAGAGCCCTTGGTTTTGATATTCCGGGACAGGTAAGCTGCATTTGCAGACATTGAAACTAAAAGTGTCTTAACAGGGATCTGTCTGCCCTCTTTGTAACGAGAGCTTGGTACAGGACAGGGTAGATTAGGATGTTAGGTAGACAGATGATCAGAGGGAGAAATTCTACTGTATTTGATGCTGGTGACCCTTCTACTCCTGTCCCGTCCCAACAGGTCTAGTTAGGGGTGGGAAGAGTTCACCTGGCAGGGGTGCTGTGAAGGAAGGTATTTCTTCTTTATCTGCTCTGAGAAGGGCCCTCATTACTCTCTTCAGGACTTTGGCTGGGAACTGAATCTCCCAAGTTGTACTTCAAGGCTCCAGGTCACATCAAGCTGGTGGCAGAGTCAGACCAATGCCCAGGGCCCCCAAATGCCAGACCAGTGTCTCCCAGAACATGCCTCATGGTTACTATATGGGTACATACGTGATTCTGTGTTTGTGCTGAGAGATTATAATAGCCAAACATTTGCTTTATTCCCAGTTCTGGGCCAAGAGCTTTATATGCATAGTTCCTTATAGTCTTCTCAGGCATTATTTGTTGTAGAGCCTAAAGTGCCTGGGATAAGATGAGGTTTTCTCAGCAGTAGAAATAGAACCCAGGGATTAGTTCTGACTAGCCTGTTGTTTTCCCCTCTCTCTTCAGATTAAATCAGGTTTCTGGCATTTCATAAATCATGGGTTTAAATATAGATCTCTGGTGGCACAAGGGGTTAAGCACAGCACTGGGAAGCTATCTGCAACCCCGGCCAGCCAGGGAGCTACCCACATGGTGAAGCAGACCACTCCTGTCTCACCCGCTGCTCCCCTCAGCAGTATATTTCAGTCAGTCTGCCTGTTCTGTTCCCCACTCTTTCTCTGGTGAATTCTCTCACCCCCAACACCTCTGGCCTGTATCCCAGTTCTTATATGCATAAATAAATAAATCTTAAAAAAAATAAATATAGGGAGGGGGCTATACCAGGTGCCATCTGCCTTTGGACTCACCTGTCCAAGGAGACCAAGCACTTCAATAACAGAAACAGTCGTCACTACTTACATAGTACTTAAAATGTGTCAGACACTGTTTTTTTTTTTTAAGATTTATTTCATTTATACAAGAACTGGGGTACAGGCCATAGCGCAGGAGGGTGAGAGAATTCACCAGAGACAGAGCGGGGAGCAGAACAGGTGGACGGACCAAAGACACTGCTGAGGGGAGCAGCGGGTGAGACGGGAGAGGTCTGCCGTGACATGTGGGCATCTCCCTGGCCGGCCAGGAATCAAACCCGCGCTGCGGAGGCTGCACATAGCTTCACAGTGCTGCACTCAACCCACTGCACCACCGGGGAGGCGCCAGACACTGATGCTCTACTCCCAGGTAAAGACCTAGAGTGACAGAGTTGGGTTTGAACTTTGGCTGCCTGATTCCAGGGCCTGAGTTCTTTGCCACCACACTAAACTGCCTCTCTCTCAGTGAGACCTCCCTTGGCCACTGGAACCGTGGACAGGAGCTCCTCTGAGGTTTACCTGTGTTGTATATTGCAGAAACTGGGCACTAATTCCTAGCGAAAGAAATTCAAACCTGATCGTAGGGTGCTCATCATAAGAGGGGCCCTGATGTAAAGTCAGGACCCTTGAGTTCAAATTCCTGGGTGTGATTGGAATGGCCAAAAGTAGGTAGACTGACAATACCAAGTGCTAACAAGGAAGTAGAGCAACTGGAACTCGCATACATTGCAGGAGGAATGTTAAGTTGGTAGAACTATTTTGGAAAACCATTTGGCAGTATCTAGCCAAATGAAACACACACCTACTCTGTAATGCAGCAATTACACACCAGACTATGTGCATGTACATGCATGCAAAATGATAAACACATTTTCACAATAGCTTTATTTATAACAGTACAAAACTAGAGACAACCCAATCACAATTTGTCGACAGTAAAATGGCTGTGGTACATTCATCTAATGAACTACTACACAACATTGAAAAACATGAACTTCTAGTACACTAACATGGATGAAGCTCACAGACATAAAATTGAGCAAAAGATGTGTGATTCCATTTTTATAAAATTCAAGAGCTAGCAAAACAAATCTGTGGTGACAGAGGTCAAAACAGTGTTTACTTTCGGGGGATTCTGACTAAGAGAGGGAACAATGCAACCTTTTAGAGAGTTGACAGTGTTTTTGATCTGGAGGGTGACTGCCCAGTTGAATAAATAAGTGAGGATTTATCAAACTGTGCTCTGAATATTGATGCACATTACAAAATGTGCACTGTATCTCTAAGTTTAGGAAAAACGAGAAAAGATTGAATAAAGACAATTTATGGGTATGGCTGACAATAGTTCTTTTTGCCCACCCATATCCATTTTTCTCCCTGAGTCTGGTAGGAGCCCAATTTCTTTTAGAGATGCATCTCTCCCATTCAATGTGTTTTAGGTGAAGCACATTCTTTCCCAGGTCCCAAATCAGAGAACGGTTTCCCCCAGTCACAGGGGTTGGTTTAGGATGGGATCAGGGCCAATGAGCTAATCATCAATTAATATCAGAATTTTTTGTTGTAACTAGCATAGAAGGATGTTCTTTCCATTGAGGTTCTAATCTAGCAGGATTTAAGCCTGGTGCTGCTAGTTGCCATCGTGCTACTTTCTGGAGAATCTGAGAAAGAGACCACATGGGGGGGCCTCCCCGGTGGCGCAGTGGTTGAGCGCTGGGTTGCGAAGCTGCCCGCGGCCTCTGCAGTGCCAGTTCGATCCCCCGGCTGCTCCCCGGCCACCGGAGGAGGGTCCCACATGGCAAGCAGACCTCTCCTGCCGCCCGCTGCTCCCCTCAGCAGTGTGCTTCGGTCCTTCTGCCTGCTCTGTTCCCTGCTCTGGCTCTGGTGAATTCTCTCACCCTCCCATGCTTCTGACTGTACCCAGTGCATGTATAAACAAACCATCAAACAAATAAATAAAAAAAAAAGAAAAAAAAAAAGAGACCACATGGGGGAAGCAGAGTAGAGATGAAATAAACCCTGGACACTGTGACACAACCTGAACCAGGCCATCCCTGTACCCAGATATTTCATGAGGTGAATCAATAAATTCCCTTTATTAGCTAACCACTCTGATTTAGGTTTCTTAGTTATTACTGGTAATCTTGGGAAAAGTGAAAAGCATGGGGGCTGGAGATATGAACATTGAGCCTGTGTGATCTATTCTGTAGGTACTACTGCTGCCTCTGCTTGGACTGGCTGCTTGATTTGTGTGATCATGGCCCTGGCAGGCCAGGGTCATGTGGGAAGGACTCTGGTCCTTGTTTGGAAAGGGTTCTAGATTAGAAATATCTAGAAAACTGGATTTTACTCTCCATTTTGCTACTTCTTGTCGTCAAGACCTTGGGCAAATCACCATACCTCTTTGATCCTTGTTCCTGCTCTATAAAATGGAGTATCACCACCTAACATTAAAGGCTGTTATGCTGATCAAATGCTACTTTACCTACTTCTCTGGCTTTTTCATACCCTTGGCTGAGTTAGTGTCTATATCCTGGACATTCCCATAGGACTGAGTATAACTCCCTGATCACTGCCACAATATTAACATGTGAGCTCCCCAAGGGCAAAGTATTCATTCATGTATTCTTACATCACAGGAAAGCTGGATTCCTAAACTAAGAGGTTTTGCAGGCTAAGGAGTCATGGTATGGCAGCCCCCTCCCCCACTTCCACCCCTTCACTTCCTTGGCCTGGTAGGTGGGATTGACTCTGGCCTCCTGGGAGGGAGAGAAGGACTCTGGGAAACTGCTGAGATAGTCCAGGCTTTGGAAGTTGAGAGCCAAGAATTCATCCTGGGCCTGTGTAGGTCTTTCCCCAGGTGGCCAAGAGCAGGTGCCCAAGAACAGTTTGTTGAGTGAAAACTGGGAGCTGAGGCTGCCTGGGCACCATCCTAAGATCTGGCTATCTGAAAGAAAGGTTTGACCAGGGAATCCTAAGTCATCACGCTCACTCCTTTCCCAGCTCATTTCTAGGTCACGGAAAAGGTTCTTCCAAGAATCACCAGTCATGAGTCAAACAGACCAGCTCCTGTGTAAGAGCTAAGCAGGAAAAAGCTCCCTCTCCTCATGAACCCTCATTCATTCATTCATTCAAGAAACACTTCATGGCACATTCTGGACATCAGGGAAGTAGGCATGAATTAGGGGAGGATTCTGCTCTCAAAGGGTTAGCCTGGAGCATGCCTGTCTTCTCCACACAGCAGCCATAATAATCGGGTCAAACAAAGCAGATTCCCAGCTTAGACCTAAAAACCTTCATGAGGCCTACTTGACAAAGGGAGATACATGAACAGATGAAGTTGTTTTAGGGCACCTGGGAAAATTTCCACAGGATTTTCAGCAATTTGGATATATGTCTTTGTCCAACTCTGAAGATGGGTATTTACTGCCCTAGGAGTCTAAGCAAGGTGACGAGAGGGGTCAAGACATATGTTCCAGATCCAACAGCAAGATGGCCCCAAATCCCAGGTCTGTTCACTGCAGTGCGGCTCATGAAAGAAATCCTTTATTTAGATGCTTCAGTGACCAAGAGACAAAGCATAAGCACACACATACACACCCACACACAATACTTAAAGGCATTTCACAGGCAAAGGGACAGAGAGTTGGGGGAGGAGGTAATGAGAGTAGGTAGGGGTTTCTTGGACCCAATGAAGGACCTCTAATGGTGATAGTCCCTGGAATTTCTTCTTAAAAGCTACAAGGAAAAATCCACTCCTAATGAAGTCCCAAGCAGTGAAACAGCAGAGCTGAAGGCCTGGGGAATATCTGTTTCCCCACTGTAGAAAACCACAACAGTTTTCCATTTCTTTCCCTGGGAGGCCCAACCTGCTCCCTGGTACCCAGGAATCTCCTGGGGGATATGAGGAAAAGGCTAGCACCATAGCAACCTGGGCAGGCAGCCTGCTGCACAGGGAGAAGGAGAGGACTAATGGGGCTGTTCCTCTGTGCTCCTGGCATGAGGCAGTCTGCTTTTAAGGACACAGAACCATCAAGGAGACTTCCATGTGGGGACTTTACCACATGACCCTGGGTCAGAGCACCTCTGATGGAGTTGGGGGAAAAGCCCCACTGGAGCTTTCTATTACCATACTGGTACTGAGGTCTTCTTCTGCTCTAACGTGTCCCCAGCTGCTGCAGATGCTTAGCACCATTTAGGACCTATGGAGAAGGGGCAGAAGGGACATCAACACTTTACCAGGACTGTGTCAGAGTGGCAGAAACCTGTGCAATGGGCCAGCATCCAGTCCCAGGCTCAGAGAAACCTGCACTTTTTAGGGGATGGGGAGTATCACACTAGTTCCAAACTGCCATTGGAGTCACTTCCATCTACCCTTTTCTGCACAGGCCAAGGTCTGGTGTGAAAGCTCCAGGTTTCACTGGAGATGCATGAAGCCCAGGGAGAGCTCAGTTCCTTAGCTGTGGGGAATAGTTCAAAACTGACCCACAGAGGAAAGGCAGCTTGGGGGCCTCATGATCTTTGGCCTTTGGCCCAAGGAGGCTGAAGAAGGGTAAAGCCCATCCTGTAAATTACCACCCTTTGAGGCCTAAAGTCCTCGCAAGACCCTTGCTTCCCCTGTCCTGACCAACAGGACCCATTCCAAAGGGCAGAACAGGGGTTGGTTTGCCTGGAACAATCAGCGGCTTCCTGTGGCCCACTCTTGCCTCAGGCCTACGTATCTCCAGGTGTGAAGGAAGAGGAAGCCAAAGGTTGACCACAGTCACAGGATGCTGGCTCATGGCTGCTTCAATCTGGGGTGCTAGCAGAAACACCGTTAGTTTTCAAAGGTGGTGGAGTCTTTCTGAATGGTTTGTCTTTGTGTTGGAATCTGGCCCAGGGGTGATGCCATTGTTTTTGGTGACCTGTAATTTCAGAAGGAACAAAGACACAGAGTCAGTTTGTGGCAGTTGTGATGGTTCTCCAGGTAGTTCATTCTATTAATAATACAATTCTTCCAGGGTCTTGGAGTGACAAGCAGGGTAGCTCATAAATGAGAGTCGCTCCATGTGAGGAACAATACTGGATGTTTTGCTTCCAGCATCCTATTTCCCCCTTATAGCAATTCTGTAATAGCACTCCCATATTATAAATGAGGAAACTAAAATTCAGGAAGTGTGAATAACTTGCCCAGGGTAAGTTTTAAGTCTGGTAGATTCAGAAACAGTCATTCCTTTTTTTTTTTTTTAAAGATTATTCCTTTATTGTAAGATTTTTATTTATTTTGCATAGAATAAATGGGGTATAGACCAGAGGCACAGGGGATTCACCAGAGACAGAGTGGAGAGCAGAATAGGCAGATCTACTGAAATACACTGCTGAGGGGAACAGTGGGTAAAACAGGAGAGGCCTGCTGTCATATGTGGGTTAGCTCCCTGGCCAGAGACAGAACTCAGGCAGTCGCAGCGCAGTGTGCTGTCATGGTGGTAGCAGTGAGACTTGACCACCAGGGAGGCCCCAGTCCATTCCTTTGGACTATACCAAATCATTTACTCTGCTTACAGGGATCTACACAATCTGGGTAGTAAAGAATGACTATTTTCCCTTTCACACTGAATCTAAAGTAGCTTTTCTGTCCCTCTATAGCCCACTTTTTGGGCATCAAATACCACCTGATGTCTTATTTGTTTAGGACCCATTTTTACCACCTGAGGGGCATGCAAAGAATCAAGGAACAGAACCTCTGGTGTCCACATCAGGGCCTGGCATATAATAGTTGCTCAATAATTCGTTGAATGAAAGCTTATCTTTAAAGAGTTTTTTTTAAAGATTTATTTATTTATGCATACAAGAACTGGGGTCCAGACCAAAGGTATGGGGGGAGGTGAGAGGGTTCACCAGAGACAGAGTGGGGAGCAGAACAGGTAGATCTACTGAAATATACTGCTGAAGGGAGCAGTGGGCAAGACAGAAGAGGTCTGCTGCGCAACGTGGGTTAGCTCCCTGGCCGGGGATCGAACTCGTGCTGCAGTGGCTGGTGATAGCGTGATAGAGCTGTGCCATCAGGGAGGCCCAAAAGCTTATCTTTAACATCTCCTCTTGTTGGTACTAGTACTTCGCATGTATTATCTCTAATCCTCACATCATTCCACAAAGTGAGGATAATGAGTTCCATTTGTGAGTGGCAGACCAAAAGGAATGGGCTTCGAAGTCAAAGAAGTCTGACTCCTGTGTTTAACTCCAAGTATCTGTAAACTTGGGCAGGCCACTTAACTTAGGTTCCCTTAAAAGCAAGGATCTTAAATCAGAGCTACCGTTGAGTATTATTATTATTTTAAAGATTTATTTATTTATTTATACAAGCACTGGGTACAGTCAGAAGTGCGGGAGGGTGAGAGAATTCACCAGAGTCGGAGCAGCGGAGAGCAGAGCAGAGCAGGCAGATTGAATGAAACACACTGCTGAGGGGAGCAGCGGGTGGCAGGAGAGGTCTGCGCGCCATGTGGGACCCTCACCTGGTGGCCGGGGAGCAGCTGGGGATCGAATCGGCTGCTGGCAGCCTCGCAGCCCAGCGCTCAACCGCTGCACCACCAGGGGAGGCCCACGGAGTCTTGATAGTTAAAGATGCAGGCGAAAAGAGGAAGATTTGTTACAGTGTGGAAGAAGAGACCAAGGACATTTTTCACTCCATCAGTGACAGTGATTCTACCACCTCTAATTCATTTGGCTCTATTAGCAATGCAGAACCAACCACCAAAATCAAAGCAATCATTTCAGCAGACTTGCTAAAACCCAGGTTTCCTGTAAAGTGGGGATGATGACTTCTATCTCAGAAGGTTATGTTGTGGCACACTGTCCATACTACACAGTTCCCCTCTGAGAGGGAGAGAACCCTGAGGGTCCTTACCTCTTCCTATCACATGGTGCCACAACTTTCTTTTCGGCATGATGCCGGGAGGAGTATTCTGTGAGCCAGAAAGCCCTCAGTTGAATCACAACATCATTTGAATGGTGGGTACCTATATCTATAAAATCTGAAAAACTGTCCTTTCTTCCTACAGCTGTGAACATTATTTGACAGAATTTGGTTGGCATATAGCTTACAACAAAACAGGGGCTCAAACAGACAACTCCACTTACCTGTTCCCTAAGCATTTAAGAATTTAAAATTATTGGATTTTATTCACTTATTGTTTATCTCTGCCCATGAGAATGTAAAGTAATGAGCAGGAACTGGGTCTGTGTAGGACACCACTCAGAGGGCGTGCAGTAATTATTTAGTCAATGAATGAAAGAACCTGTAGGGGGAGCTCTTGTTACAGAATCTATGTTCACGATTCCCTAGACAGACTGCTAAGGCCAGGAATTCCAAGTACTTTTAGGAGACCAACATGGAAATAATTTACATTTCTATACTAAAATGTTCAGCCCAATAGGTCCAAAGGCCGGAGAGCAAGTGATGGGGAAAAAAGCTTAGAGACACTTTTTCTGTTAACTGATTTTCTATTGACTGAGAAAAGGCTGCTAGGATTCTATTCTAACCAAGGAGTACCTTGTTTGGTTCTGATTCAGAAGCCCTGATTTCCTGCTGCAGACCCTTGAATTTCAAAAGATGATTACTCACTGGTTCTTGTGTTTGAAGCCGCTGACATGAGCTTGGTACTGTTCTATGGAGTTCAGCACTATCTTACACGTCTTGCAGGGATAGCCCTTTCCAGCTGAAACACATCAAAATCAAGATGCTTAGTTATTCAATTAGAAGGGACCTGGGGACTGATGCTTTTCACAGAGCATGCATGTGCTCTTCTGAGGCTGGGTGGGTGGGGTGAGGGCAGGTGGTGGGCCTGATGAGACTCCCAGAGGCCTACTAGCTGCTCAGAGGACCAAGGCTGTGTGCCTTTATGCTCCCTGACCTAGGAATCTCATTTCCCCTGTGCCCCAGTCTCAGAATTCAGCCTGGCCCAGATAGCTATCTGTTGAGTAAATTAAAGAATCACTGGAAAAAAAAGAATGACATAACTAAAATGACACAATTAAAAGAGGCAACATTTGGAGTAAGTCTCTTTTCCACTTCGACTGTGCTAAATATAGCCTCAGTAAGGATGCCCTTCGCTGACAGATCTTTGGGAAGGTGCCACTTTCCTCGGGCTTATAGTAGCGGTACTTAATGAAAGGTCTGTTATGAAAATCAATGTCTTTCTACCTGGGGGCTCACAGATACCCTGTCTCACTACCAGGGCTGTTTCAATGACAAAGTAGCATTTCTCCACATGGTCTAGCAGAGAAAGCATGGATCAGGTGCCATGACCTTGGTTAAATCTCTTCTCCCCTCTGATCCTTAGCTTGCCACAACTATAAGCCATTTACACCATGTAGGGTAAGGTAAAAAATGTATCAGGCTTGGGCCTCCCCGGTGGCGCAGCAGTTGAGCGTTGGGTTGCGAAAGCTGCCCGAAGCCTCCGCGGCGCCGGTTCGATCCCCGGCTGCTCCCTGGCCACCGGAGGAGGGTCTCACATGGCACGGAGACCTCTCCTGCTGCCCGCTGCTCCCCTCAGTAGTGTACTTCAGTCCTCCTGCCTGCTCTACTCCCCGCTCTGGCTCTGGTGAATTCTCTCACCCTCTCGCGCTTCTGACTGTACCCAGTGCTTGTATAAATAAATAAATAAATAAATCTTAAAAAAAAAAAAAAAAAGTATCAGGCTTTTCTGCCCTCCCGCCATTAGGATTGATGATGGATCTGTGGTCCTGAATGCATGCCTGATGGTGGGCACCTGGAGTAGGGTGTGGGCATGCATAAGTGGGTACACTTGGGCTAAGACTGGGCTTATAAGGGCAATGTCACAGGGATGCCAGAAGAGCGAAAGAGAAGAGCAGAGTGAAAGGAGCAGAGAAGCAGAGGCCACGAGTGAATGCCGGAGAGCCTAGAAGGACTGAGGACTTGGGCCTCCCTGGTGGCACAGCGGGTTGAGCGCTGCGCTGTGTGAAGCTGTCCGCAGCCTCTGCAGTGCGGGTTCGATTCCCGGCTGGCCAGGGAGATTCCCACATGGCGCAGCAGACCTCTCCTGTCTCATCCGCTGGTCCCCTCATCAGTGTCTTCGGTCAGTCTGCCTGTTCTGCTCCCCGCTCTATCTCTGGTGAATTCTCTCACCCTCCCGCGCTGCTGGCCTGTACCCCAGCTCTTACATAAATAAATCTTAAAAAAAAAAAAGACTGAGGACTCTCACTGCAGGCCTCCCGGCCCCCCCAAACCCCTGCCTGCTGTGTACCTGGTTAATCCCAATAAAAGCCTGCAAAAGCCACCAAGACCTCCTAGTACTCTCCTTCATCCGTCTGCTCGGGTCAGAGATCCTGCACTGTGCCCATTCCTGCCGCTATATACAACTTATAAGTACTTATATTTACTAAGTGCCTGATAATAGGGCATGCATTGCAGATAATTTTGTTTGCTCCCATAATAATCCTGTGAGAATCATCAACATTATTCTACAGAGGAGGAAAATAGGTCACACGACTAACATACAAAGTGATAAACTCAGGTTTGGCTGACTACAAAGATTGTACTTATTCTAGCAGGCCAGGTGTGAGCTGTACAAGAAAGTCATGTACACATGCCTTGAAGAGTCCTTGTGGCTCTAATACCTTTTAAGTCATTTGGCATCTTAAAGACACAGCTTAGAGTGAAAGCACCCAGGCTCAAATACCAGCTCTATTATTTCTTACCTGTAAGACCACAGGCCAGTGACTTAACCTCTCTGAGATTTGGTTTCCTTATTTGTAAAAGTGGGGCTTCTCTGAGACTGGTTCCTCACCTATAAAATGAGGTTATATTAGGGCCTCCCCGGTGGCGCAGAGGTTGAGCGCTGGGTTGCGAACCTGCCCGCAGCCTCTGCAGCGCCGGTTCAATCCCCGGCTGCTCCCCGGCCACCGGGTCCCACATGGCGCGCAGACCTCTCCTGCCGCCCGCTGCTCCCCTTAGCAGTGTACTTCGGTCCTTCTGCCTGCTTTGGTCCTTCTGCCTGCTCTGCTCCCTGCTCTGGCTCTGGTGAATTCTTTCACCCTCCTGCGCTTCTGACTGCACCCAGTGCTTGTATAAATAAATAAATAAAAATCTTAAAAAAAAAAAAGAGGTTATATTAGTATCAACCTCATTGGGTTATTGTAATGATCCAAATAAAAGCATTTGGCACACAGTAAGCAATCAACAATGTGAGCTTTTATCACTGTTATCATTTTACATTTTTGGGCTTCCTAAGTCATGCTGGCAAAGGAGAGGCAAAAAGTATCTCTTAACCATTTGCAGCTACTGAGAACACTGACTAACCAGCTCCTTTTAGCCTATGTTCCCAACTACGTTTCCCTTATATAGTTCAGGTTATTTCCTGGGAGAAATGTCCCTTCAAAGAATTTAAGGCAAAATTATTACAATTGGAATTCACAGTCTTTTTTAAGACATTTATGGCCAGAAGTTTGAACACAATGGTTCAAAACTAATAGGATACATTATGGACTAGCAGAACCACCCTTCCCCCAAGGTCAGGGGTTCCTGGGGCTGGTATGGGAGTGACAACCACCAATGGTTAAGTCACTGACACCACATTACAATTATCCACTCTATCAACTAAGCACCAGGTACCATAATAGAATTTTTGATATTTATGTCCTTGAATTCTTAGAAAAATTCTGCAAGATAGGTGGATGTCTCCATTTATTTCCACTTTTCAGTAGGAAACATACCCAGAGAGGTTAAGTGGCTGACTTCGGCCAGCGCTGGGATTTGCCCTTCGGTATGTGAATCCTCTGTCCATGTCTTCCTTCTGCACCACAGGTCTCCTATAAGCTATAAGATCTCAGTATACTACTTAACTGTCTGTAAGCTAGAATCAAATCATTTGGAGCAACTGCAGAATTTACTGGTACTTCTAAAAAACCAGATATGTCCAGTACCCACACTTCTTAATTTTCATGTTTATCATTTGATATATTGGCTTGCCCCTGTGATTTTAGGAAGTTAAAGTCATTAAAGCTGATTTTTAAACATCTGGTATATTTGGAAAAACACCTGAATCTCCTCCCCCATTTAAAAAATACATATATATATTTAAAGATTTATTTATTCATACAAGAACCGGGGTACAGGTCAGATGTGTGGGAGGGTGAGAGGATTCACCAGAGACAGAGCAGGGAACAGAACATGCAGACTGATTGAAATACACTGCTGAGGGGAGCAGCGGGTGAGGAAGGAGAGGTCTGCTTCGCCATGTGGGATTCTCGCCAGTGGACCGGGATCGAACCTGTGCTGCTGAGGCTGCAGACAGCTTCACTGCGCTGTGCTCAACCGCCTGCGCCACCAGGAGAGGCCCCCTAAAATATATTTTTTACGATTTATTTATTTATACAAGCACTGGGCACAGTCAGAAGTGCGGGAGGGTGACAGAATTCACCAGAGTCAGAGCAGAGAGCAGAACAGGCAGACTGACAAAGTACACTGCTGAGGGGAGCAGCGGGCAGCAGGAGAGGTCTGCGCGCCATGTGGGACCCTAGCCCCGCGATCAAACTGGCACTGCAGAGGCTGCGGGCAGCTTCGCAACTCAGCGCTCAACCGCTGCGCCACTGGGGAGGCCCCATCATTTTCATTTTTAAATCCTCCCTTTTTAAGTCCTGAAAGTCTGTCTATACTTGCTTCTCCATTTCCTTGCCTCTCAATGATTTTGCAATGGCCCTCTCCCCCCAAGCCTTCCAAGGCCCATGGGCTCTCCTGTATAAAATTTGATAGACAAAATGAGTGCTTATTAGGTCTCATCATATTTGAATTCTCAAGAGAAGCTGACAGAACTGGTCACTTCTCCCTTCTTCAGTCTCCCAAGTCTCAGCCTCCAGGATGCCACACTTTTAATTTTTTGCCTCAGGTTGTTCCATCAGAGTTTCTCTAGTTTCACCTCTACCATTTAATATTGTCATTCCAAGGGCTCAATCTCCACCCCCCTTTTATTACTATTACTGTTTAATTGTGATAATATATATGTAGAATAGAAAATTTACCATCAAAGTCATTTTCCACGTACAATTCAGAAATGTCCAAGGAGAGTTGTGGGTTAGAGAAATCTTTGTTTCCATCACATTAAGCACATTCACATAGGGCAACCAATCTCCACATTTTCATCTTACAAAACTGAAACTCTCCATTAAAGAACTCCACCAACCTTTGGCAAACACCATTCTACTTTTTGCTTCTATGCGTCTTGATTACTCCAGATGTTTCATACAAGTGAAATCATAGAGGATTTGCCTTTTACTGTTAGTTTATTTCACTTAGCATAATGTCCTTAAGGCTTATCCATGCGTAGCATGTGCCAGAATTTCCAGAGGACTCGATTTTAGACCCTCAGTTCTTCTCTCTCTAAACTCTCGAAGGAAAAATAAAACAAAACAAAAATGAGTGAGGGATCTCACTCATTTCTCTGACTTCAATTACTACTGATTAGGTTAAAACTTCTATCAATATTTTAGTTTTTGACCTACTTAGCTTGTAGTATTTTAACCCAGACCTCTCCTTTGAGGTCTAGATTGCCTCTAACATACTACTTGGAAATTGCATAGGCATCCTAAAACTGCTCCCTTTCCTTCACCTCCTGCATTTGATGGCCAAGTCCTGACAATTCTTCCTACACAGCTCTTGAATCATATTTCTGTGTACCCCTTCCATTGCTATCTCAGTCCATGTGCCCATCTTCTCCAGTATGAATTACTACAACAGACTCATTGATAGTATCTCTACTACCCTTCCTCCCTATGCTAAGCCGTTCTTTTTTTTTTTTTTAAAGTTTGATTTATTTATGCATATAAGAGCTGGGGTATAGGCCAGAGGTTCAGAGAGGTGAGAGGATACACCAGAAACAGACTGGGGAGCAGAACAGATGAATCTACTGAAATACACTGCTGAGGGGAAACAGTGGGTGAGCCAGGAGAGGTCTGCTGCGCCATGTGGGTCAGCTGCCTGACTGGGGATCAAACTTGTGCTGCGGCGGCTGTGATAGCTTCATAGTGCCGAGACTGAATCCTCTCTGCACGACTAGGGAGGCCCCCTTCTTCACATTGTATTCAGAATGATCTAATAATGCTTAAACTGTCAATGTCTTCCTAAGTTCTTGGGAGAAAGGCCCAAATCCTTAACAAGGCCCACAATGCCATGACTGGACACTTGTTTCTCTCTCCAGCATTATTTTGCCCCACACTATCCCCTTGCCCTGTGGGAGGCCTTCTGGATTCCCTGTTCTCCCATCTCAAGTCATCTCTACATATTCCATTTGTTTCCTTTTTTTTTAAAAAAAAAGAAAAGATTTATTTTATTTATTTATGCATACAAGAGCTGGGGTGCAGGCCAGAGGTGTGAGGGTGAGAGGATTCACCAGAGACAAGAGTGGGGAACAGAACAGGTAGATCTACTGAAATACACCACTAAGGGGAGCAGTGGGCAAGACAGCAGAGGTCTGTTTGCCATGTAGGTGAACTCCCTAGCTGGGGATGGAACTCAGGCTGCAATGGCTGCAGATAGCTTCACAGTGCTGAGTCTTAACCCCTTGCACCACCAAGGAGGCTCCTGTTTCCTTTTCTAAAGTGCGTTAATTTTGTAGTTATTTGCTCAATGGCTGCCATACCTGTCATTAAGAATATTATGCCTGTCTTGTTTGTTATCATACATAAAGTGTTTAGCACATATTGGAGAAGAACTCATCACATATTTGACTATAGGTAAGTTTAATCAGACCTGAAAACCTATTTTATATATAGGGGTTAAAGAAATTGGGAATAAGCAGGGGACAGAAAAAGCAGACCTGTTCTTTGCAGGAGGCAAGGCCTAAGTAGGGAGAGAAACTGATGGGATGATGCAGAGGAGGAGTCCGGGAACCTGGAGGGATGCTGAGTACTCAGGAAGGATTTGGCTGTCTGAATGATACTCAGGTTTTAGTTTTGACAGTCTTGGGTAAATCAGAGAAATGTGAGCCTGACATATAGCACAAACCCCAAGTCTTATTTGATCTACTTGGTACATGCTGCCCTTGATGAGAGTGATCTGGACATACTGGACCATCTCTCACATTTGACCCATACTTGTTATGGAACACTTGCCAGGAGCTCCATGGAATTTGTTTCCTGGATTCAACACAGAATTTATTCTGGGTTTTTGGTTTTTTTTTTAAAGATTTTTTTTAAATTTATTTTTATTTATTTATACAAGCACCGGGTACAGTCAGAAGCGCGGGAGGGTGAGAGAATTCACCAGAGCCAGAGCGGGGAGCAGAGCAGGCAGAAGGACCGAGATACACTGCTGAGGGGAGCAGCGGGTGGCAGGAGAGGTCTGCGCGCCATGTGGGACCCTCCTCCGGTGGCAGGGAGCAGCCGGGGATTGAACCGGCGCTGCAGAGTCTGCGGGCAGGTTCGCAACCCAGCGCTCAACCACTGCGCCACTGGGGAGGCCCGGTTTTTTTTTTTTTTTTTTTCAATGCATACAAGTGCTGGGGTGTAGGCAAGAGATGTGTGGCAGGGCAAGACAGGAGAGGTCTGCTGCACCATGTGGGCTAGTTCCCTGGCCGGGGATTGAACTCATGTTGTAATAGCTGCTGATAGCTTGGTAATGCTGAGAATTAACCCCTTGGGCCACCAGGGAGGCCCCCTCATTTCTTTTTTTTTTTTTAGAGCAATTAAAAAAATTTTTTTTTATTTTTGCGTAGTAGGCCAGAGGTACAGGGTGGTGTGTGTGTATGTGTGAGTGAGTGAGTGAGTGAGAGAGAGAGAAGATTCACCACAGACAGAGTGGGGAACATAACAGGCAGATTTACTGAAATACACTTCTAAGGGGAACAGCAGGTGAGACAGGAGAGGTCTGGTCTGCTGCGCCATGTGCGGGTTAGCAACCTGGCCGGGAAATGAACTCAGGCCATAGCAGTGATTGCACTGAGAATTAACTCCCAGGCCACCAGTGATCTGGGTGTCAATGCTGGCTTTGCTACTGCCTAGTGTGGGGCCTAGGGAAAATCATTTCATCTTTCTCATCCTAATGTCCTCATTTGCAAAATGGAGAGTTTTTGTGAGGACTTAATCATGTAATTATATGTGAGAGCATCTAGCCTAAGGCCTGGACTATAATAGCCATAGCTTAATGTTGGATGACTGAGTCAATAAACAAATGAACAAGATTTGACTAAAGTCAACATGGAAAAGTCAAACTATTAACAAACTTAATACTTTGCAAAGGCAAAATCCCTGGGAGTTGAAGTCACTGCCTGTGAAACCTAGGTCCACATCCCACCTCTATAAGAAGGGGGTCAGAGTGGGCTCAGAGTCTCTGTTGATGTTCTGTACTTGGGAAGCCTCCTGCTTAGTATTCCCAGAGCTGGAAACAGGAGAAAGGAGTTTAAGTTTTAGAGTTAGAACTAGAAACTCATACTGATGTTACCACTTATTAACATATCACTCTATGACCCTGATCAAGTCACTCTAAATCTGAACTTTCTAGTGAAGAGGGAAAATAAACCTGTTTATAGAAATGCTGTCAGGATTAAATTATAAGGTATATATTAATACCAAAAGGGGACATGATATCCCTATCCCTCTGCCTATGTTTTCATGAAAGGTTTTGGTTTTATGTACAGAGCAGTTAGATACCTTATGCAAAAAAAAAAAAAAAAAAAAAAAAAAAGAGGGCTACAGCTCAAGGGTAAGTATGGGTAATTTAGTCTTAGACAAATGGAGGAGGAAAGTGGATACAGAAAGGCTTTAGCTTGAGATAAAAGAACAGAATGGATACAAGTTAAGATAGGCAGCCCCAAACAATGCATATCCTGAGTCCCGCCACTAGACAAGAGATAATGAGGAAACAACCAGGGCAGAGCCAAGCACCTGATCCACAGGAGTGGAAACAAAGGGTCAACTACAAGAGAACCCTGGATCCTGCTTGCTGGATGCTACTTTATTTCTATCAGTTACAGGGGAAAATAGAAGAATGTGGTAAAGCTGGGTTCTGTGCAGCTTGTTTCTGGTTTCCAAATTCCCAAATATAGGACTGATACTGTTAAAGGGGAAGGCACTTCCTATATGTGGGGACATTAAGTCATCCTTTTCCAATTTTGAAGAGGTTTGTAAAGTTGGACCCTATAATAGCACTGGAGGAGCAAACCTTGGCACCCTGCTCAAGGGATATCCTCCTTGCGTCACAGCCTCTGCCCCACACCCTATGTGGTCTGGGACATCTGGGTATTTCCTTTTCCATGACTGTGTGGGGAACACAGATGATCCTGAGCAACAGGTTCCCTGAAGCCAACTTGTTTACACCTGGATGTCTTAGGGCCTCAAATGCTGACTGATGCTGCATTTCCATGGCTTGGAAGAAAGTCCTGAGGACCAACACCAAGACTCACAGAGGCTCCATGAGACAGGAACTGTGTCAGTGTTGGGTCACTACTGTACTCCAATGAGGGATCAGTAATTGTTTACTGACTGAATGAAAGAGAAAACAATAATCTCCCCCTCCCCTTTCCTACAGGCTCTGAGAAGTTACTGTGCTGAGAGGGGTTCTTAACTTTTTTGTGATGCTCATTCCTGTAATGTTGACTTGCAATCCTGAGGTGCGTTTGAGTCAGAGTGTTCTCCTTCATTACACTATTCTAGGGGCACAGGCAGGCTTTGGCTGCTGAAGATGATGGTCCTAGAGGATACTCTAAAAGCTGGCACAGGCTGCTGAACCCCTCACACAAGAGATGTGGATGACAAAGAGCTGAAATCAGAGGTGAAATACTGGTGGTCCTTGACCTAAATCTGGCTTGAAAACAGGTCAGACTGATACAGATTCTAAGTTGTTTTTTTTTTTTTTTAAAGATTTATTTATTTATACATACAAGAACTGGGGTACAGGTCAGAGGTGCGGGGTGGGGAACAGTTTAGGCAGACTGACTGAAATACACTGCTGAGGGACGCAGCGGGCGAGACAGAAGAAGTCTGCTGCACTATGTGGGTTACTCCCTGGCCAGCCAGGGATCAGGGGTCAAAAACTCATGCTGCAGAGGCTGTGGATTGCCTCATAGTGCTGTGCTTAACCCCTTGCGCCACCAGGGAGGCGCCAGGATTTAAGTTTTTAAAACTTAGTTGCTCATTTAAAAGTGAGAAGAATCTGGGGCCTCCCTGGTGGTGCAGGCAGTTGAATGCTGCGCTGTGAAGCTGTCCACAGCCTCTGCAGTGCCGGTTCGATCCCCGACGGCCTCGTAGCAACCCACATGGTGAGCGGACCTCTCCTGTCTTGACAGCTGCTCCCCTCAGCGGTGTGTTTCGTCAGTCTGCCTGTTTTGTTCCCCACTCTGGCTCTGGTGAATCCTCTCACCCTCCCGCGCATCTGGCCTTTACCCCAGCTCTTAAAAAAAAAAAAAAAAGTGAGAAGAATCCTTAGTTAAATCTGGCTTCTTGAAATCTTTTGAGAAATGGAAGGATAAGTTAACTGGCTAGAACTGATCAGAAGAGGCATGCACTCTTCAGCTGAACATATACCTTCCTGGCTCTTTCATTTATTTAAAATTTCCTGTCTAGCTGTTGCAGGCATCTGAGTTTGCTAAGACTGCTATTTAAGAAGCACTATGGGGGAAAAGCACTGTCTTGATGATCAGGGAGCCCTAGTTGCCAAGCCCAGATCCAGCTCTGGGTGTGAGCTGGGCCCCCTTACCTGATGAGTCAGTGACAGCAGGGTCTGCCAGTCGCCCATAGTGTGCCATGAGTTTGAGTTTGGTCTCCTGTTTCCTGTGTTTCTTGCCCACATAATGTTGTTGAGCCATGACAGGGTCGTTGAAAGTTGCATGGCAGAGGCTGCAGAACTTGTCTGGGTCTATCATCTCTTTATTCTGGTGCAAGGCTAAGGTGGAGGCCACAAGGAAAGGGTTTGTAAGGCGTTTCGACAGAGCTGCGGTAAGAGAGTTTAAACAGAAACAATTAAAAAACCGAGAAAGTGCCAGGTCTTCTAGTATGCTGAATGGAAAGAAAGGCTGGGTCACTATTTTATCACACTTGCAGATGTGCCACTGCCTATGTGAATCACATAGTGAAAGTCTTCTCTAATTGGGGAGCTATTTTGTTCAGCAGCTTTAACTAGTTAATGCTGATTTAAGCATATTCTCAGGAGGCTCTGCACTTCTTCCCTTAAGCTGTCAAATTACAATGCTCACATACTTGCAGTCTTTTCAACCCTCAGACTTCCCAGAACTTCATAGCAAGTGGGACAAGTAGTCATTGTTTTATTCCTTTCCTCAAAGTAGTCTCCCCACCCCCTCTCAGTTACAAAGCTGGAAGTCAATACACCAAAATAGAAACTGAGGGCCTGAGGGTCATTTAGAAAAAGGCATTTTAGGCTGCGCTGGCTTTAGACTGAGTAAAGGAGAGGATGACATTGATGTTTGGGTATGTGCTTATATATTTATAATACATTGTACATATATATTTGCCTTGGGTTGTCAGAAATACCTGAGGAGGTAGGTCATCAATTTATTACAAATAAAAAAAAATTTGACTCAGCTGGGTGAAGTAACTTGCCCAAGATCACCTACATAGTGGTGAGCCCAGGTTGGTGTGGCTCTAGATCATGCCCTCTTTCCTATGTCAGGTTGTCAGAGGGTGGCAGGGAGACCTGAAGACTACAACTCATGCTTCCACTTTCAGAAAAGGTAGCCCTGATCAATGAATTCAATTCATCAGTCTGTTATGAGCATCTTGAAGCAGCAAATGTCCTGTTGCTGGCTGCAGGCCCGATACTGAACACTGCCTTACAAAGCAGAAGCCATGCCTCTCTAAAGAGCCTAGAGGGATGGAATGCTAGTAACCACTGGTTAAAAAATGTGGTCTGCTAGGGGCGGGGCAGGGAGAGAGGGCTGGGAGGGAAAAAAATGTGGCCAAGAACCTCCACCAATGATTGGGAGGGGGGTGGTGGTGGTGGTGGTGGTGGTTTGCAGCACTCACAGACGGATGGTGATAATGCTCTTTCATTCCAGCACTTCAATGGGGGAAGTTCTGAGGATTTTTAGCAAGCCAGAAGAAACCTGCTGGCTTTTCCCACAATGGTTTTCCAGGATAGGGACTCTCAATTTTCCTTGTCATAGACTTTGTTTCAGCAAGTGTAGGGTAAGGAAAAATGTCAGGCTATTCTGCCCTCCCACCATCAGGATAGATGATGGATCCTTGCGGTCCTGAATGCATGCCTGATGGCGGGCACCTGGAATAGGGTGTGGCATAGGTAGATGGGATTCACCTGGGCTAAGACTGGCCTTTTAAGGGCGGCATCACGGGGACGCCACTAGAAGCCGAGAGAGAAGCAAGAGAAGCAGAAGCTGAGAGAAGGCCGGAGAGCCCGAGTGAAGACCTGCTGGGGGCTGGGAGGCCTGCCAGCCTACTGGCCCCCCAGCACCCCTGCCTGCTGTGTACCTGGTAAACCCCAATAAAAGCCTGCAAAAAACCACTGAGGACTCTGACTCCTCCTTTACCCGGTCTGCTGGATCATAGAAAACCTGCACAGTGTCCATTCCTGACCCTACAGCAAGTCACTACAAAAGTAACATATATGTTGTAGAATATTTAATAGTATGAGAAAATATTCAGTATGTGGTGTTGAGTGGAAAATAAAAGGTAGGTCATATAGCAATCTGTTTCTTATGTCCTCAGTTTTATAAAAAAGCAGTAAAACATACTGGTAAAGCATGGACGAAAGACCAAAAGCCTAAAGTGAAAGGATGCTTTCAATACTTTTCACAATGAATGTAAATTTTTAACATGAGATAATAATGGTAGTTGAGACATAAAGGTCATTCTTTAAAACATACTAAGGAGAAGTATCAGGTAAATGGTAAAGTGAAGTTGGAGGAACCTCTTAATGGACTTGAGGTATGGGAGTTTTAGTTCAGGAAGCAGCTTGAAATATTGAGAGCATTCTACAGGGATGTCTGCTGTAGTGTTATTTATAAATACCAAAAGAGGGGAAGGGGACAAAATGTTTCACATCAGAAGAATAGTTAAAGGTGGTATGATGGGATATTAAATAGTTGATAAAAATGTTTATGGAAAGTTTTTAGTAAAGTGGGCAAATACAAATGTTATATTAAATGAAAAGAATATAAAAGAAAATTACACATACAATATATGACTGTTGAAAGAAATACGTGCACAATTCTACATGTGAGTATTGGTATTTTGAAATATTCACCAACATATTAATAAGGTTTCTCTTTTGGAGGTAGGATTTGGGTAATAATTTATTTCTTTGTACCTTTTGCATTGTTTAAACTAGAATTAATCATCAGTAGACACTGTTTTTATTAAAATAAGGTTATTTAAATTATTCAATTTTTATATACACTACACATAGATTTACCCTAACTGCACAGAAAACAAATATTACACACAGATATACACACAAACACACAAATTACAAAAGTTAACAGAAGAAACTGTACTCCAAAATGTTAACAGTGGTTATCTTTGAATGGAAAAATAATGAGTAACTTTTCTCTCATTTATATTTTCCATATTTTCTGTATCTTGTATTACTTTTGTATTAGAAAAAAATTGATTTCAGAAATATAGCTATAAACTCATTTAATAAGCTTAAGCTGCAAAATTAAATGAGAAGTAAAAGGAACATGCACTATGATTACAACTGTATGAAAACATATCTGTATGTGGCAAAGGCTGAATAGTGAATACAAAATAACCTCTTGAATACAGAATCTTTGGGACCAAACATATTCTAGGGAATTTTCCTATTTATGGAAAGATAATTCTATATAAAGATAAGTGACGTTACAAAGTTGTGTTCTTAAGCTAGTTTCCTTTGGCCTAATGCTTAATCTTTTTACGCCTGACCACTTACTGCCATTTTATGGGGGATTCCATTGACTTGATGATGGTGTTAAAATTAACAGCAGTAGCTGTCATTTTCTGAGCATCTGTTAAGTTCCAGGTTCTTTCTATACATTATTTCATTCTTACAACATATGAAGTAGATCATATTCAACATTTTGTAGGGAGGAACCTCAGACACAAGGAAGTTAAATTATACAGATGGTAAAAAGCAGTACCAGGATTTAAACCTGGATTATTTGTGATTTGAAAGTCCAAATTCTGTTGTTTCACAGCATGAATAACTATAGATTTGGGTGTGACAAGAGGTTATGAGTGATTTTTTTAAATCTTCAGAGCCTCCTTAAACACTGTGGTCTTGTACAGTAATATAAGAAAGGATAATAAGATAGTGTAGCCTACTTCTTGGTCCAAAACAGAGAAGCAAAAATTACAAGAAAAAATGAAATAAAGATCAAAGACCTTTCATGCTTGACTAATTGCAGTTAGCAGAAGTTAAAAATCCCAGAAAGTCAGGAGCTAATGAGATGAAAGCATGGGCTGAGCCCCAGTGGTGATAAGATAAAGGGAGTTATTATAGAAGTTAGAGCACAGGGGATGAATTAATGGCAAATTGCAAACACAGCTTGCTGGGCAGTAGTGGTAGCACTGAAGTTTTCAGCTTTGAAAGGTAAGTCCCTGTCTTGAGGAGAACAGGCAGCTTTGAGGATTAAAGTGAGCAGGGCATAACCTTAGTACACGAAAAGACAAGGATTTAGCTTTGAACCTGGAACACATGGTAATAAGGGCAGGTAGATGCTATGTGGGAGAGGCAGGAAAGAGAATGGCCTGGGAGACTTTGGTACTCCTCAGTTAAAATTATGAGTCAGGACAAAAGCTCAGGGCTTAGAAGCTTCTACACACACCAAAAAAAAAAAACATATAACCAAAGGAAGGGATGTTAGGTGAGCACAACTCTGAGGTTGCATTACAGTCAAGCTAGGTCTACTTTGATATTTTTAAGGACTCTGAAAAGTAGTTTAACCTCTTTAAGTCTGTGGCTCCAGTGACCATTTCTGGGAACACCTGGCATTGCTGCCCTGAGGATGGGAGGGGTCCCAATATAGCACTACTCAGGAAAACCAGTACCTTCCACCTTAGTGGATTGCTGCTTCAGCTTTAAGTTCTTTGCGTGGGTCTTCCCCAGGTAGTGCGACTGGGCCACGACAGGGGAAGAAAAGGTCATGTTACAGATGGGGCAGCACTGGTTCTTGTCTTTGCTTCTGCTGCTCTTCTGGTTAGGAGAAAGAACACAGGTCTGATCATGCCACTTTCCAGCCAGAAAATCTTCAATGGTTCCCCACTGCCCATAGGCGAATGGGCATTCAAGGCCCCCTTTACACACTGGCCCAACATACCTTTCTGTATTCTTGTCCAGCTACCTTTGTCCCAGGCTCTACTCACCATTACCCACTTTATTCTCTGATGCTTCCTTGCTTTGCTTGGGCTATTCCTGCTGTCTAGAGTGATCTTCCTTTCTTTCCTATCTGGGATACATCTGCTTAGTCTTCATCATGGCCCAGTTTAAATAGTACCTCTTCTGGGAGACTTTTACTCAAGATAATATTTTATTCAGTAAACATTTATCAAGCCATGTTGTATGAATATTACAGGAAGAATTAATCTTATCCCTTCCCACAGTGCATTAAATAATCCTCTATTGTACCACTTGTCACCCTAAACTGAGTGTCACAGTTTAGGTGAATTTTCTGTAAACTACAGTCCAACATTTGGACATGGACCATTTAACTCATCTTTGTTTCCTCTCCTTAGCTCCCTGCTGGAGTCTGACACACAGCATCTGGTAGATGCTCAGGGTTTGTTGAATAAGATCACTGGGTTTTATTTGTTGACTATGATAGGCTAGAAAACAATGTATTTCAAGTCTATATTAAGCACTCCCAGCCTCCCTCTAAGAAGGTCTGATCTATAAATGGAGTATTCCCTCTAAGACAGCATCTTTCAACCTTGGTACTACTGACATTTTGAGCTGATAATTCTTGGGTTGGCGACAAGGGAGACTCTGATCTCATTTCATTTACAGGGCTATCCTGAGAGTTGACTATCCATGATACAAAGAGGGGAAATGATTTGCCCAGTGTCAGAGTTGACCTTGTTTTTCTGATATTTTAAATCATCAAGGAGAAGGGCAACCAGGGGATGAATCTAGTGAAATTGGAGAAGGGATGAACAGGTCCTTCTAAATCTGTGGTCACAAAAATAGGAGGTAGAGTTTATAGTGTAAACACCTATTTATTGAGTATCCATTAGTAACTGGAATTTTAACTCACAATGTCCATAAGAGGTCGGAATTATTATTTCCCCTGTATGGGTAAAGTACAGAATGGTTAAGTCACTTGCCTAGTTATCCGAACAGTAAGTTGCAGAACTAGTATTTGGTCCTAGTCTGCTGATTTTTCATGTTATGATATCCATGATGCTTGCACAGCTTCACACAAAATAAAAATGGTATCCCTGAGGGATAGGGTAGTTTCAGCATAATTCTCAGAGTACTTCTAAGCCAAACAGCAAATGTATTTACATCTCAATCAGAGCAAGCATTGGAAAGGTGTTACTTCCACCTGTTTATTAAAAATATCCAAGTGCTAAACTTAGCTCTATCCCCCAGATCGCAAGAAAGTAAGTCGCCTGGCTTTTTCTCCTTGAGTAGTGAACAGGCAAACTGAACCCTCACTATGAATCAGGCTCTGTGTTGGGTACTTTTTCTGAACCTTCCCTCATTTTACTTTGGAAAAATCCTAGAAAGTAGTTTAGATTAGCATCTTCATTTTAGAGAAAGAATTCAAGCCTCAGAGAAGTAATAAGATTTTCCCCGAGTCACAAAACAGGACTGGAATTTGAAGCCAATTCAGTCTAACTCAATGCCCACGTTCTTTTAACCACACCAACCTGCCTGAAAGGCTTCATGAGGAAGCAAGTGGTCTCAAGATGGAAGCTGGATTACCTGATCTGAGTCTAGCTTCTTCGTTTCCCCCTTTAATGTCTCCATTCCATGGATTGCTAGGTATCTCTTCACTTTGTTGGCATGTTTTTTGCTCTGTAAGAACCCAAGAAAAAGATCAAGGATAGCGACATGCCAATTCATATCTAAGGCAATCAAAACCAGTAGATTGTCATCTGATTAATCCTCAGAAAAACTTCTGAGGAGAAGTAGAAGAAACCTAGTTTATTCAGTTCGTTCTCTGTGCAAGGCACTTTACATTCTGTCAAACCTAATCTTCACAACAATCTATGAGAAAATTACCTTCATTTCTATTTTATAGATCAGGAAATTGAGCCTAAGCTTTCCTGCTGAAGATGAGAAATAGAATTGTGATTCAAACTCGGGTTTATTTAAAGCCAATGCACATACTTTCTACTATACCAAGCCGCAAGAAAGACATAAGCCTAATGATCTTTTTTTTTTTTTTTAAAGATTTATTTATCTATTTGATACAAGCACTGGGTACAGTCAGAAGCGCGGGAGGGTGAGAGAATTCACCAGAGTCAGAGCGGAGAGTAGAGCAGGCAGACTGACGAAGTACACTGCTGGGGGGAGCAGCTGCCGGCAGGAGAGGTCCGCGCACCACGTGGGACCCTCCTCTGGTGGCCGAGGAGCAGCCAGGGATTGAACCGGTGCCGCAGAGGCCGCGGGCAGCTTCGCAACCCAGTGCTCAACCTCTGAGCCACCGGGGAGGCCCCCTAATGATCTTGATTTGGATGGGAGATGAGACTCAGGAAATTTTATTTATTTATTTATTTATTTATTTATTATTATTTTTTTTAAAGATTTATTTATTTGTTTGTTTATTTATACAAACACTGGGTACAGTCAGAAGCGTGGGAGGGTGAGAGAATTCACCAGAGCCAGAGCAGGGAGCAGAGCAGGCAGAAGGACCGAAGTACACTGCTGATGGGAGCAGCGGGAGGCAGGAGAGGTCTGTGCGACATGTCGGACCCTCCTCCGGTGGCCGGGGAGCAGCTGGGGATCGAACCGGCGCTGCAGAGGCTGCGGGCAGCTTTGCAACCCAGTGCTCAACCGCTGCGCCACCGGGGAGGCCAGAGACTCAGGAAATTTAAGTAAATCTTCAAGTCACAGTCAACAAGTATGAAGGCAACATCCGGGTGGTTAAGAAGGAATGATACTTCACCATGTAAGCCAGGAAGAAGTGGGGGCTTGGCACTGGGTCTGGAAAGTAAAGCAATTCTAAAGGTACAATAGCATACCTGGTAGTGTGCCAGCTTCTGGGACTCAGAAATGAGCAAGGCGCAGCAAATCTTACACTGGGTGTTGGTGAAAAGACATTGGTTCTTCTGGATCATGTGCTCCACTACAGAGAGGAAAACAAAAAATCTTTAATTAAAAAGGCTCTGTTGGGCCTCCCTGGTGGTGCAGGAATTAAAGACAGTGCTATCAAGCTATCCCTAGACACTGCAACAGGAGTTTGATCCCCAGCCTGGCCAGGGAGCAACCCACATGGTGCAGCAGACCTCTCCTGTCTCACCCACTGCTCCCCTCAGCAGTGTATTTCAGTAGATCTGCCTGTTCTTTCCCCACTATCTCTGATGAATTCTCTCAAACCCCCTGCACCTCTGGCTTACACCCCAGTTCTTGTATGCATAAATAAATCTTTAAAAAAAAAAAAACTAAAACAAACAAACCAAAAAAACCCCAGCACTGTTTCTGAATCCTGCCTCAAATGCAGGATTATGCTATACTATTATATCAAACCTCCTCTACAATGTTCTCACACTCTATACTGCTACTTTATAATTTCATGTAATCCAACTTTCTTTACTAATTTTAAACATTTTTTTTTGGTTTTGATTTACGTTTTCTTAGTGTTATAGAACACCTTTTCATGTGTCTGTTCTTTTGTATAGTGAAAGATCTGCCTTCTCTTTAGTGAAAAGATTTAGAGCTTCTGCCCACTTTTTAATTAGTGTATTTTTTGTTGTTGTTGAATTGTATCAGTTGTCTATATGTTCTGGATAGTAACCTCTTTTTTTTTTTTTTTAAGATTTTATGCATACAAGAACTGGGGTGTAAGCCAGAGTGCTGGGGGTGACAAGTTTCACCAGAGAGAGTGAAGAGCAGAACAGGCAGCTGTACTGAAATACAATGCGAAGGGCAGCAGTGGGTGAGGCAGGAGAGGTCTGTTGCACCATATGGGTTGCTCCCTGGCCAGGCTGGGAATCAAACTCATGATGCAGTGGCTGGGGATAACTTGATAGTAGTCTTTAACCCCTGCGCCACCAGGAAGGCCCTTAACCTCTTTTCTGACATGTGGCTTGCAAGAATCTTCCATATCCATTATGCTTCTCTCATAAAGCTGCCTTTTTGTAGTAACAATTGTTTCTTTTGCTGTGCAGAAGCTTTTTAGTTTGACATAATTCCATTTGTTTATATTCTTTTGTTTTTCTTGCTGCTGGAGATGAATCCACAGATATCATGTCAAAGAACTTATTACCTATGTTTATTTCTATGTATTTTATGATTTTATCTTTTTTTCCAAGATTTATTTTTATTTATTTATGCATACAAGAACTGGGGTGTAGGCCAGAGGTGTGTGTGGGGAGGGGGTGAAAGGATTCACCAGAGACAGAGTGGGGAGCAGAACAGGAAGATGTACTGAAATATACCAGTGAGGGAAGCAGTAGGTGAAGACAGGAGAAATCTGCTGTGCCATGTGGGTTAGCAACCTGGCTGGGGATCAAACTCAGGACTCAGTGGCTGGTGACAGCTTGATGATGCTGAAACTTAACCCCTTGTGCCACCAGGGAAGCCCTAATATTAAACCATCCTTGCCTTTGATACAGGGCAGCAAGGGACACTAAAACTGGCCAAAGACATTGCCCAAATAGTTTACCAGTCACTATCTGAGTTCTTCACCTGTGTGCACAATTGCAAGACTACTCAGATGATGTTGAGTCAATATTAAGTTTCGTAAGTCATGATATGAACAAAGAATTTTATTCCTAGTGTAATTAGTGGCAAAAAGGCCTGGCTTATGTTTTGAAAAGATATTCTGTTGTGTCAGCAGACTGTATGGGGATAGGAATGGAAGCACAGAACAAATGAAGTTGAATATAAATCAGGGAAGATTATTCTGGAAGACAATACCTGATAGATGCTTGGCCAAGGCAGATTGGCAAAGAGAAAAGAGAATGGATTTGGAATTACATTCTGAAGTAGATCCAACATCTAATTTTTAAAATTAGATTGGGGTGGGAGTGAAGGAAGGAGAGGAATCAAGGATAACGTATCAATAGTTTTTGAACTTGAGCAACTGAACAAATGAGGTGAGAAACAAAGGAAGATTTTTTGGAGGAGGAATTTTCAGCTACACTAAACATGAATGGTCTACTGGACATATAGGTGGGGAGGAGGTCAGAGCTGGAGATATAAAATGTGGAATCAGGGCCTCCCTGGTGGTACAAGTGGATAAGTCTCAGCCTATGTAGCTATCTGGAGGCACTGCAGCACGAGTTCGATCCCCAGCCAGTGAGATGACCCACATGGTGCAGCAGATCTCTCCTGTCTCACCCACTACTCCCCTTAGCACTGTATTTTAGTAGATCCACCTGTTCTGCTCCCACTCTGCCTTTGGGGAATCCTCTCACACTCCCCCTACCTTTAGCCTGCACCCCAGTTCTTTTCTTTTTATTTATTTATTTATACAAGAACTGGGGTACAGGCCAGATGCGCAGGAGGGTGAGAGGATTCACCAGAGACAGAGCAGGGAACAGAACAGGCAGGTGGACCGAAATACACTGTTGAGGGGAGCAGCAGGCACTACAGGAGAGGTCTGCTGCACCATGTGGGACCCTCGCCAGCCGGCCGGGATCAAACCGGTGTTGCAGAGGCTGCGGACAGCTTCACAGCTCAACCGCCTGCACCACCAGGGGAGGGCCTGCACCCCAGTTCTTGTACGCATAATAAATAACTCTTAAAAAAAAAGTGTGGAATCATCGGTCTACCAATCATACTTAAGCTGTGGAAAACAATGCCGACATGGAAAAGGAAAGAGGTCTTGGAGTCAAAAGTCAGGCAGAAGAAGTAAAGTTTAATACAAAACAAAATGAATACAGGATAGGACTTTCAGCTATGGAAGAATGAGGTCCTCTTCCCTAAAAAGCAACCATAAAAATGGATGAGCCCAGAAAAGAATCACTTTAGCGCTGAAAATTAACCTTCGCACTTAAGAATTTGGGAAGCGTTTATGCTTGCACACCTGCTGAGCCTTGGGTGGGAACAGTGGGAATCTGGGTGCGAACAGTGGGAATCTGGGTGCTCTCATTCCCTCCTACTCTCAGTCAACACAGAGGTTCTACCAGGAACAGGTAGAATGTGAGAACCAATAGCTTACCTATGGAAGGGGGAGGAAATGCCTGTTGGAGAGGTGAGTAATGCCCAAACCTACTGATTTTGTTGGTGGAAGTGATCTCAAAGAGGCAGGTGAGCAGAGAATGCCAAAGGCCCTAATACCCTGAGTCTGTAGTCACGGTTGGGGAAAGAGTGTACCTGGCTAAGACTGCATGACAGTGGAGACCCAAGAGGGTTGAAGTTAGCCATGTACTCTCAGCCAATTCTGAGGTTATGTACATGCGCAGGAAAGATGCAAAAAGGCGTGACAGAAAGTAAAAATCCAGGAAGATTTTAAAGCCTGAACTTTAAGTGTGCTTCCCTATCAACACAGATTTAACGACAGAGGGCCAAGGCCTTACTGGCTCCAGGTGTTTGAGAATGAGCTCTTTTGAATCACTGGCTGATCATTAAGCAACAAAGACACAGGGAGATAAAAATGATTAAAAATAACCAAATTAGGAATATTTTTTCTTAAAGTCTTTAGTCACTGTGTAAGCAGTTTTCTTCCATACTTTGAGGGAGTGCTAACGTTTCCAAGCAGATACCACATGGAGAGGCCCTGAGACTACCTTAAAAGAGAAAGGTGCCTGGCCAGCTCCCAGCATCTCCATCCCACTGCTGTGTTTGCTCTAGCCACCATCTGACTGCAGCTCCCTAAGAAACCTGGAATCAGGTTGAGCTATGCCTTTCCTGAGTTCCTAACCTATAAAAACCATGAGAATGTATGAGGTTGGAGGCAGCTAATGTCCAGAGAGGGAAAAATAATTTAAATTAATGAGAATTTTGAAATGGTAGCCTGAATGTGCATCCCTGATGTCCTGATAGCCACATACAACTCTAACTACCAACTGCCTCTCCAGAGGGGCATAGGCTTGATATAGGAAATTATGTGCTTAGAAAAGCATTAGAAAGGTTGAAGATACTAAGTTGGACCTTCAGAAATGTTCCTAGGAACAATGTACAACTGTTCTAATAGATGAACTATAGTCTCTGAGGACTCCACTGCAGCCTTGTTGGAAGTAAGAAGCTTCCATTGTTACTGAACTGTCTCTCACCCTATGAAGCTAGGGAATGGATCCTGGAACACTGATGTAGGAAGATCTCATAGTTCCATGACCTTTCTTGGCAGTAACAGCCAATAGCTATAGGAATATGATCTTCACTGCATTTTTGCCTTCCAAATCTTATGAAAAGACATCTGATTTGTACGATTTAATTTTTATCCATATTGTAGACAAACACAATGTATGGGGCAGAAGTTGAGAGAACTAGAACATGAAGCACAGGGTTTATTTCCACAGGGTCAATGAGGTAGGGTCAGAGAGTGCTACTATAGGGAAGCAAGATAATTCATAAACTTCAGAAACTGAGGGGAAGTAGTATCTGGGAGACAAAACAACATTCAGTTCAAGCTAGAATTGTCTTTGGTGACTTAAGGTAATGTAAGCTGACTTAGGGCCAGAATATCTGGTAATTGCACAACTAAATCACCTCTTATACTTCAACTAATTAGGAATGCCACTAATTTATAAAGACTAGCTATTCCTTGGGCCTAGGGCCAAGATGTGGTCTTTAATCTTCAATTCAGCTCTGCAAAAATCTATCAATCTAAGGGCGTTCGCCCTTAGAGAGAGATGAAACCTATTTACTCCCCAATTTATGGCTTATTAGGAGGTAGTGGGCTTCTAGGTATAATTATAGTTAGAAAGCAGCAAACAACAAAAGAGCCTAAGAAAAGAAAGCTGATCAAACAGTACAGTAGGGTAGTAGTGTAGGGTGGTAAATAAGAATGAACTGGACAGTTAGCCCCACTAAATTTACTTTAGTACTTCTATTTTATAAACCCATAATGTTGTTGATCTCAAGCAACTCAAACTTTTATCATACAAAAAAGACATGAAGAAAGCAAATATAAAGGCATTGATGATGTGGTGCTAAAACTTTACTACCTAGAATGTGTATAAATAGAACCCAAAGTACAATAAGTGAAACGAAAAATTCACTACAGGAACTCAAGAGCAGATTCAAAATGGCAGAACAATCAATGAACTTGGAATTATGCTTAGCAATAAAAAGGAATGAAATACTAATTTACAAGGTAATTTGGCTGCACCTCAAAAACATGTTGAGTGAGAGAAATCAAATGCAAAGGACTACATGTTGTATTATTCCATCAATGTGAAAATGTTCAGAAAAGACAAATTTATAGAGACAAAGAAACAGATCAGTGGTCGCCTAGAGCAAGAGGTGGGAGTGGAGTTATGGTAAAGTAGCAGAAAGGAACTAACTATAATGATGGAAATATTCTTCTTTTATTATTAAATTTAGCAGTCATTTACAAGTTTATATAACTTTGCGGTTACATTTTTACTCCTCCATATGTACACATGCTTCACTTACCCTCCAACAAACCTGTGCTAATTGACACCCTTACTTTTTTTTTTTAAAGATTTATTTATTTTTATACAAGAGCTAGGGTACAGACCAGAGGTGCGGGTGGGTAAGAGGATTCACCAGAGGCAGAGCGGGGAGCAGAACAGGCAGATGACAGAAATACACTGCTGAGAGGAGCAGCGGGCACAAGAGGAGAGGTCTGCCACACCATGTGGGACCCTCGCTGGCTGGCCGGGATTGAACCCCCACTGTGGAGGTTGCGGGAAGCCTCACAGCGCAGCGCTCAACCCACTGCGCCACCGTGGAGGCCCAACGCCCTCACTTTCTTTATCCCCTCTTTTCTCCTCCCTGTTCCCTCTAGTAACCAATATATTTTTTACTACATCTAAAACTATTTTGTCAGTGTATATATTTTTTGTTACTAAGAGTCCAAAGATGGAAACATCCAATATCTGTTTTTCACTTTCTGAGGCTTATTTCTCTTAGCACAATTACCTCAAGGTGATTCCATTTTGTCCCAAAAGGCACTATTTCATCTTTTTATTTATTTATTAAAAACATTATTTATTTATGCATACAAGAACTGGGGTACAGGCCAGAGGTGTGGGAGGGTGAGAGGATTCACCAGAGACAGAATGAGGAGCAAAACAGGCGGATTGACTGAAATACACTGTTGAGGAGAGCACCAGGCGAGACAAGAGAGGTCTCCTGAGCCATGTGGATTAGCTCCCTGGCTAGGGATTGAACTTGTGCTGCAGTGGCTGCCGCTGGCTTCATAGTGCTGAGAACTCCATGCTCCACCAGGGAGGTCTCTTGGAAACAGTCTAACACTAGATTGCTGTTATCTAACACTAGATTGTGGTCCTGAGGAAAAGGGGACATTCCAAGTTCCCTGCTCCACCCAAGGAAGGGTGGAGCTGAGCAGGGAGGAGAGAAGAATTTGGGGAAGAGACTGGAGAAAGGAGGAGAAAAGGAAGGAGGACAGAGAACCAGAAGGAGACCAGGAGGCAGCACATATTAATTTAGGAGTCAGATTAGACTAGTTTTTAAACTGGAGATGCACACATCAGGGGATAGGTCTGTGTATTACCCCAAATTTAAACATCTTTTCCTTGGATTTGGTCAAAAATTCATTTTAATCCCAGGACAATCAATTTAGAGCAACATAATAAACTTTCCAAGATTAGTCTGCTCAGTAAGCAAGCCAATCATTAGAGAAATCTCATTTCCCTGCAGAAGCCTAACAGGATTAGCAGAGAAACCCAGTTAGTGTACATCTGGGTTAGAGTTATGTAGCTAGCTCTGCTAAGGACTGTGAAGGGGGGCCCAGGTAGGGCCAGATCTTTGCAGTCTCCTCTTTCTGTCTCATGCAATGCCAAGTCAAATACAAAGCAAGCTTCAGCTCAGAAGTCAGTGATCCACCAGATGGTCTTGTATATCCTGTTCTCTACGGCTTCAGTCAAGAGTGGGATAAAAACAAGCTGAAGACAAAGCATACCCAGGTTAGCTTCTCAGGCTCCTGCTCTGTATCTCGGAAAAGGACCCAGCCAGTGAAGGCCAGATACCTAGAAACGGGTTAAGCCTGGTCTCAGTCCCCAAGGCCAGGAGGTACATGGGGGTAAAAAGCTCATGTGGGGGCCTCCCGGGTGGCGCAGTGGTTGAGCGCTGGGTTGCAAAGCTGCCCGCGGCCTCTGCGGCACCGGTTCGATCCCTGGCTGCTCCCCGGCCACCAGAGGAGGGTCCCACATGGCGCACAGACCCCTCCTGCCGCCCGCTGCTCCCCTCAGCAGTGTACTTCGGTCCTTCTGCCTGCTCTGCTCCCCGCTCTGGCTCTGGTGAATTCTCTCGCCCTCCCGCGCTTCTGACTGTACCCAGTGCATGTATAAAACGAAACAAACAAACAAACAAATAAATAAACATGCCTCTATTAAAAAAAAAAAAAAAGCTCATGTGGGTTATGAGAGAAGGGATGCAGAGACATAAGGGGCGGGAAGACCTGGAGACTGGGACGAAAGAGAATCAGGTAGACATGGGGAGGAGGCTATAAGTCTGGCAGAAACGGTTCTGTGGTTCGTTCTCCAAGGTGTGGATAGATTACAGACCTTGAGCTGCAGAAGAACCGTGCTCTGGTGAATGAGCAAGGCAAGGGTGGCGCGGGTGGGGAGCCCCTGGGCTTGGGAAGGCCCTCGACCATCTGTGCTCTGAGGTCTGTCTCTTGCGGTGTCGCGGTCCTGGCTTTCAGGGGAGCTAGCCTACACTTGCCTGGCCCTGACCGGGTTCACGAGGCCGGGAATCCCAAGGAGCGTCACGCAGGGGGCAGGTCTGGGGGTGTGACCAGAGCCCCGGGGGCGGGTCCGCGTTCCCACCCCGCGCTTCCGTCCCCTCCCCTCGAAAGGGGCTGGGGAGCAAGGGGTTTCCTGCGGCGGAGGACCGCCGCACTCACCTTCCTCCCGCCCTACCGGCTGGGCCCCGGACACGGCTTCCCAGAGGTAGCGCGCCCTCTCGCGGTCGAAGCGCGGTCCGTCCTGTTCTCGGCCTTCCCTCTCCGCCGAGCTGTTGTAAGGCCGGGTCCCTCCGCCGTCCGCGGCCTCCATGGTGCCCAAACTGGGATACTCCATCTTCCCCGCAAGTTTTAGCAGGCGCTCAGCCTTACTCTCGCGAGATCTCGGTGGGACTTTGCCATCGTCCAACAAATCTCGCGATGCTTGGCCGCAGACCGCGTTGCGGCGTCCGCCTAAGCGCTCAATTTTCTCGCGCCTCTTGCAACCTAGAGCTTGTGCGGTGGGTTTGAAAGTCGGTTGCCTTATCCAGGGCAGTCGGCTCCCTCCCTGACGGCCCCTTGCTGGTTCTTGGGTTCGCACGTTGCTCACGGTCAGCCTTTGACTCTCAGTTTGTTCTCACGAAGGTCCTGATATATAGAAATATTTCCCCCATTTCACTAGTAGGTAAACTTAGAAATAGTTAACCCAAAGAGTTTGCAGCTATTAAGTGGTGGAACCTGGGCTCAGGCTCAGTGATTCTTTTACGGCAAATAATAGATACCAATAGAGTTGTAAGTGCTAAAACCCAGCCCAGACCCCCTCAAGCCCCTCTCCCCCATCGCCAGCAACTGTCAAACATAAAATTTAATTTTACGTCCCCACAACTGCTCCATCCCAGTTTTTCAGGGCAACTATTATAACAGGGTGGTCCCCTGGAAAGCGGGAGGTTCCAGGTTCCCTGCCCCACCCAAATGGAGGGTGGAGCTGAGCAGGAAGAGAAGAAGCTGCAGAGACTGAGAAGGAAGCAGGATGGAGCCAGGAGACCTGGAGGACGTGCATGGAGCAGAGAGGCACGTGAATAACTGCGCTTGCCTTTTGGTCTTGGACTGGGTGACACAGATGTGGGTGAGACTGTTATAGGACAGGGAGAGGGGCAGCCCAAACCCTGCAAACCTGCCTATTCTAAATGGGTTCTGCCATCCGCTGCATCAACACAAAACATATGAGACTTTAATGGGAAGGAACTTTAATACAATTAGGAAACAATACAGGAAAGGCAAAGAATCTAGTTTCTAAATGAAGCACCCAAAGTTACCCATCCCCTCGTGGGTGAAAGTCCATCCATATGGGATTGGCCCAGAACAAGGCCCCAAAGCCTGCCACAAGTCTAAAGCATCTTCCAGTGGGGACCCACAGAAAAGGGTCAGAAACAACCAGACAAGCCCGGAAGGAAAAGAGCAAAATCAACATCAAGATAAAAGCTGCCATTGTCACCTCCCCATGGGTCTCACCCACATCTGTGTCACCCAGTCCACGGCCAAAAGACAAGCACAGTTTCTTCACGTGTCTCTAGGCTCCATGCGCCTCCTCCAGGTCTCCTTCTGGCTCCATTCTGCTTCCTTCCTCAGTCTCTTCTGCAGCTTCTCCTCTCCCTGCTCAGCTCCACCCTCCCTTGGGTGGGGCAGGGAACCTCCCCCTTTCCTGGGGACCACCCTATTACAAGACCAGTGGGGAGGAGATAATGGCAGCTTTTGTCTTGATTTTAATTTTGCTCTTTTCCTTCCAGGCTTGTCTGGTTGTTTCTGACCCTTTTCTGTGGGTCCCCACTGGAAGATGCTTTAGACTTGTGGCAGGCTTTGGGGCCTTGTTCTGGGCCAATCCCATTTGGATGGAGTTTTACCCAGGAGGGATGGGTAACTTTGGGTGCTTGATTTAGAAACTAGATTTTTTGCCTTTCCTGTATTGTTTCCTAATTGTATTAAAGTTCCTTCCCATTAAAGTCTCATATGTTTTGTGTTGATGTGACGGATGGCAGAACCCATTTAGAATAGGCAGGTTTGCCCGGTTTGGGCTGCCCCTCTCCCTGCCCTGTAACACTATCGCGCTCTCTCTCTCTTTTTAAGATTTATTTATTCATGTATACAAGAACCGGGGTACAGGCCAGAGATGGGGCGGGGAGGATGGTGGTGAGAGGATTCACTACAGACAGTGGGGAGCAGAACAGGCAGATTGACTGAAACACACTGCTGAGGGGAGCAGTGGGTGAGGCAGGAGAGGTCTGCTTTGCCATGTGGGCTTCTCGCTGGCCAGCCGGGATCGAACCTACGCTGCAGAGGCTGTGGACAGCTTCACAGCGCTGTGCTCAACCGCCTGCGCCACCGGAGAGGCCCGGCAACTATCTCTTGCTAGGGTTCTTTAATTGCCCTTCAGGCATCCCCTCTGTAAGAAGCTTATCGTGATAACCCTGTGCTCAGACTCCCCAAACCTTTCCAATCCCACGTTGCACCTCACTCTTCCTAAAAGTGAAGTCCATACTTCAGCAAACATACATTGACTTCCATTAACTTCCCTGATCTCATTTGCTGTGTTAGCATTCAACCCCTTCATTTCTGTCCTAGTTACCCTGCCTCCTGGAATGCATTTTCTCATGGTTTAGTCTCTGTAGTGGCAGGATGGGCACTGATCCAAGCAGACCAGGTGGGTAAAGGAGGAGTCCTGGAACCCTCGGTGGCTTTTTCAGGCTTTTATTAAGCTTTATATGTAGCGTGGCAACCAGGTACACGGCAGGCAGGGTGGGATTGGGGGGCCCAGGAGGCTGGGAGGCCTCCAAGCCCCCAGCAGGTCTTCACTCTGGGCCTCTCTGGCCTCTTCTGGCCTTTTCCTGCTTCAGCTTCTCCGGGATCGCTTCTCTTGGTGACTACCTCAATACTCCTCCCATAGCCCACAGAAGTAAACAAGATAGTTTGCAACAATGTAACAATTATAGGTGCCCCATCAGGCAGGGCAATCCTAATGGTGGGAGGGTAGAAAAGCCTGAAAACCAGTTACCCTACAGTCTCTCTTTTCCTTTTCTGGCTACCTTATCTAAAGATCTATTCCTCCATACACACTTCATGCTTTCTTGGTTTTTTTTCCCCCTTCCTTAACACTTACCATTATCAGACATATAGTTTGTTTATTGTTTGTCTCCCTACAGAAGACAAACCCTAGAAAAGCAGAGAATTTTGTCTGTTTTGTTTTCAGCTGACTTTGAAATAGAGCTTGAACCCTCATAGGTACATACCAAGTATTTATTGAATGAATGAGACATAATTATGTATTTCTACCTCATTAATTCAGATTTTTAAAAAAGATTTATTTATGCATCCAAGAACTGGGGTACAGGCCAGAGGTGTGGGGGGTGAGAGGATTCACCAGAGGGAGAGTGGGGAACAGAACAGGCAGATAGACTGAAATACACTGCTGAGGGGAGCAGTTGGCGAGACAGGAGAGGTCTGCGACACCATGTGGGAAGCTCCTTGGCCGGGGATCGAACTTGTGCTGCAGTGGCTGTGGATAGCTTCAAGATTGCATCTTAACCCCTTGCGCCACCAGGGAGGCTCTAATTCAAATGTTTTATTGAGAGTTTACTATGATCTAGATGTTATTTTGGGTATTTGGGTATTGGAATGAAGGAGACAAATAGGGAAGCTGTTGTAGTGTGTTTTTTAGTGGAGGAGATTAATAAACCCGTCAACAGGTAGTAATTAGTGTTAAGGAGAGTATAAAACAGGAATACACATTGGGTAAATGATGGGGCAGACATTAGGGTGGTCAGAGAAAGCCTCTGAAGAAGTGACATTTAACGTAAGCTCTGATTGATGAGGGAGAGGGCATGCAAAGAACTAAAGAACTGCGGGAGAGTGTTCTAGGCAGAGGAAATAGCAGGTGCAAAGTTCCTGAGGCAGGAATGAGCTTGTTGTGTTGGAGGAACAGAGAAAAGGACAGTATAACTGGAGCCCATTGAAAAGGGGAAAGTGGTATTATTATTATTTTTGAAAGATTTATTTTTATTTATTAATTCATAGAAGAACTTGGGTGAGAGGATTCACCAGAGACAGAGTGGGGAGCAGAACATGCAGATCTCCTAAAATACACTGCTGAGGGGAGCAGCAGGCAAGGTAGCAGAGATCTGCTGCCCCATGTGGGCCAGCTCCCTGGCCAGGGATAGAACCTGCTGCCGTGGCTGCTGATAGCTTCATAGTGCTGAGACTTAAGTCCTTGTACCATCAGGGATCCCCAGAAAATGGTATGAGAAGGCGAAAGAAAGAGAAACTTCTTGTTTGAGATCACATGCTTATCAGTGGGATTTACTCATTTATACTACAAATATTGAGCACTGTCTCTCAGACCTCATGCCAGGCTCTGGAGTTTCCAGTGCAGTAGATGACTGGTATTTAACATGCATTATAACATTTAATCCTCAAGGTGGTTCTCATATGAGGGATTCTTATATGAAACACACTGGAAGGCCTCCCCGGTGGTGTAGCAGGTTGAATGCAGTGCTGTGAAACTGTCCGCAGCCTCTGCAGTGCCGGTTCAATCCCTGGCTACTCCCCGGCCACAGGGTGAGGGTCCCACATGGTGCGCAGACCTCTCCTGTCTCGCCTGCTGCTCCCCTCAGCAGTGTATTTCGGTCCTTCTGCCTGTTCTGCTCCCTGCTCTGTCTCTGGTGAATTCTGTTACCCTTCTGCGCCTCTGGCCTGTACCCCAGTGCTTGTATAAATAAATAAATCTTTTAAAAAATTAAAAAAAAAAAAACGGAGTGGAAGAAGTGGCGATTTTATCAGGTTACACAGCTAGTTAGTGACAGAACTCATTCTTGGACACTGATCCTCAGACTGCAAATCCATGTCCTTTTGCCAACACTAGATGACCAACCTAAAAACCAGTGAAAACGAATTTGTCTTAAAGATTTCTAGTTACCCGTATTTGCATAAATAAATAATGCAAGTTAGTCAGTTAGAAATCCCAAGGGATGGAGGGCAAATTTTTGTTTCAAGTCCCAGAACTCAAGGATATTTTTTGAACAGAAGGGAGTAAATCCTGGGGGTGGAATACTTAAGATGCTATGTGTATTATTGGAAAATAGCCCCCCCACAACTCCCCGAAGTCCCAAACCAATTACATGCTCAAGACACAAGATATTTTCTATTAATTCTCTAGTTACTGCTGGCATAGATTGTCCCCTGTGACACTGTGTTACGAATTCTGAGCTACATTGCTAATGTCAACAGTTTGCTGCTTTGTCTTTGTGTAAGTGCTTCCAATAATGACTCAGTCTTGGATTCTTTGCCGGTAGCTGGCTGTACAGGTGATGACTTATATTTGTAGAGCTGGCTTTTTATTTCTTTCCTATAGAAAGTGAGATCCATTTTCCAGTGTGTTCTACTTTATATTGTTGCTATGGGAGAAGATCAATCCTAAGAAAATGACTCTGCTGGCCTCCCTGGTGACACTGAGGTTAAAGTCTCAGCACTATTAAGCTTTAGGCAGCCACTGCAGCGTGAGTTCGATCCCCAGCCAGGGAGCTAACCCACATGGCGCAGCAGACTTCACCTGTCTTCCCCGCTGCTCCCCTTAGCAGTGTAT